CGGTCGGTGTTGGCACGAGTCAGATGTTCGAGACAACATGGTGACACACACACACGGGGACAGATTGTAAGCATAAGCGGCCACACAGACATGCACGCGTCCACTCTCGCGTGCACCTACATGTTCACATGTGCACCTAGAAACAAAGACAAAGATCCCCCGTATAGCCTTGACAGACTGTAGGAGCAAGTACTGTTAGCGAGCACCTATGAAGGTCGGCACTGCACACGGTGGGGGGGTTGGTGGCCAGCACCACACCCGGCCGCCTTTGTCTCCCCAGTGGCGACGTTTACACGGGGGGAATCGAACTCGGGTTGCCGGGTTTGTAGCGCAGCGCATTAAACACTGCGCCACCGCTGCTCACTCCACACACATGCACGCTTGCTCTCATGATCACGCACCTGCAAAGACACAGAGACAAAGATCCGATCCCCCCCCCCCCCCCCCGTATTGCCTTCGCAGACTGTTTGGGCAAGTGCTGTTATCGAGCATGCATGCGCGCACACACACGCACACACGCTCGCTCTCACACTCGCACGCACGCAGCCAAAAATGTTTTCTAGGCCACGTGGGGCTAATGGGGATTACGGGATTACACCCCCTGCACACACCGGCATGGTCTGCGAGAGACGTAATCGTCCCGCAGCGCGCGAGCGTCCAAGAAACTCTCGCAGCCGCCGCCGCCGCCGCTGCCGCCGCTGCTTTTGTGAGGAGGAATGGAAAGAGAAAAACCTCCGCACAACGAAACGCTCTCGCGAGTGCTCACACTCACTCGCGAGTGCTCACACACTCACTCGCGAGTGCTCACACACTCACTCGCGTGCTCACACACTCACTCGCGAGTGCTCACACACTCACTCGCGTGCGCCACGCATCATGTGGGCGCGCACGCACAGTCGCCCCCCTGTTGCACGTAGCGGTCCGCCAGCGCCGCGTTTTTTTATTGCAAGGGTCACAATGATACCCATTGTTAGCGTCGTCTCTCTCCCCCCCCCCCCCCCCCCCCCCCCGGCGATCAGGGAGGAATTAAAATAATAAATTCACGGCTCGGCCAAAAGCGCCTCGGCTATATTTAAAGCGAGAGCGGGGTTTTTGTGCGTCGTAGCGCTGGTGGTTTTGGTGAAAGCGGTCCGCTGTTTGTTGTTGAGGCTGCAGTCTGTCTGCTGTTGCTGTTGCGACGCAGACCACATTTGCCACCTTGTCGGGAGTCTGTGTTTGTGTTGGCGTGGGGGCCGTTCAGGGTTTCCATGCGGAGAGAGAGAGAGGGGGGGGGAGTGACGCAGGAATATTTTCGACTGCGCAGGTTTTCACGCTTGTGCTCCGTCTTCCCCGGGGCTTAACGATGCCGGCCGGCCGGCCTGCATCAACCACTACCAGCAGCAGCTGTCGGCAATGCTGTACTACAATCACAGCTCCCGGCCGGCACATGAAGCGAAAACGTCAGACATCGTGCCAGACAGCACGCCGCAGTAACTCGCTTGCTCCCCAGGCGCGTGCAGCCTGCAGTGGCGCGTGCCACTTGATCGCGCGTGTCACTCCATCGCACACGCCACTCCGTGGTGCGTGCCTACGCTCCTTAAACGTTGTGCCCTGCCGGCAAAGTTATGGGCCAGAAAAAGTGTTGTTTGCCCAAAGCCATGGAGCCAGGAATTTTGCTCTCCTTACCGAGAGAAGATTTTCGAAGACGTGTGGAGAGGGAGAGAGATGCACGCTTGTAATTGGAAAGAGGAACACGTGGATTAGAGAGCATTACGCTGAGAAATGACATCGTTCTGACCGTGGAGGAAAGCAATTGGACTTGGGCAAGACACGTAGCTGGGGGGAATGTTGCAAGAATGGAGCACGATGGCTCCTGCACACCGTGCCCTCGTTCTGTCTCGTCCGGACAAAGGGGGCGGATCTCGACAGCGTCTGTATCGTGGGTTCGTCAGATCTGTCGTGACACCGTCCCTGACTTTGCAGGATGGGAGGCCTCCTGCACCGCGGTGGAACGTGGCAGTCCACTCTGGGTGGCGCAACGTGACATGATGTCAACGACGATGATGGTGACGATGACGGTGATGACGATGACGGTGATGATGATGATGACGGTGATGACGATGATGATGGCCACCACCAGCAGGGTTTTAACGACACATTTATTTACGCGATCTAACCCAAAAACCTCTTGTGGATAATGATGATTATGATGACGGTGACGGTGACAGCCGTTGGTCGACAATAGCAACGGAGTGACGTGCAGTCCCTACTTAAAAAGGGTGCAGTGAAACACGCGGGAGAGGTTCACGCTTGGAAATACGCCGAGAGACGGAACGTGTAGAGCACGTGGATGAGAGAATGAACGCAAACCGAGAGTACGCTGTCGCGAATTTGAAGAAAAGCGGTCCGCAGCTTGAGAAGGGGGAGGGGTGGTCGAGGCTTACGACAGAGTTGGAGCCAAAGGCGGGGAGTGTGCCCAACCTCGGTGGACGCGGCAGGGCGAATCGTTGCCGACGGCTCACGACCGGGGGACGTGGGAGCGGCTGGGAGCTGTAGTTTCACGTGGAGCAATTCGCTACCCTGAGATTCATTGAGTTGTCACAAACGGGCTGATGATCATCACCATCGTCATTAATATTATTATCACCATCATCGCCATGTTCTGCAGACTATCAGGCGCACCTTTTTCAAACAACATTTTTGGCCTCCACCTAATAACCCAGTAGCTTGTGTGTGCGCGTGCGAGCGTGCGAGACCAGATTCGCGCAACTTTATTTGACACCGTGCGGCGGAAGTTAGGGACGCATCTTACTTTCTAAGATCCAGGCGAATTGTACCGATCACTAGGACGTGACCGGCGTTATCCGGTCGTCCCATGGTGTTGCCGCCTTAAATCGGCATGGCCAGAGTTTTTGACCCGATGACGACCGCCGCGCGCGGCAGCTTGGTGGTGATGTCACGCGGACCACACAGAGGCCCCACACGGAAGCCCCACACGGAGGCCCCACACGGAGGCCCCACACGGAGGCCCCACACGGAGGCCCCACACGGAGGCCCCACACGGAGGCCCCACACAGAGGCCCCACACGGAGGCCCCACACGGAGGCCCCACACGGAGGCCCCACACGGAGGCCCCACACGGAGGCCCGACGCGGAGGCCCGACGCGGCGGTCGCACGAGCGCGGCCCCTCTTTTTTGCCGTCGACAAACTCGGATAACCGCAATCTTCATTGACGCTGGAGGAATCCGACGTTGCTTCGTGAAGTTATTTTTTTTGGCTCGCAAATCGCCTCCTGTGGCGCGCGTCCTCCAATTCGGTCGCTCGCAGTGCGTTTCGCGAGAGACGCCGGGGGGCGTCGATGGCGCCGCTGCGGGGGGGGGGGGGGGAGGGGGGGCGTAAAGGTTCCTGGCGGCGAGAGCGCCCGACCGGCGTTCCGAAGCACCGTGTGAACGCTGCGAGCGAACTAGGCCATGATGCGCCGCCGCCGTCGCGGACCCAATTTCGCATTACAGCATCGGCGGGTGCCGAGTCAGCCGCGTGTGACCCGACACCCCGTGACCCACTTGGCAGCGGAGCGGCAAGGCCTGTTATGAAATGCGCTATTAAACAATTACGGTGGCGGCGACGGTGGCGGTGGCCACCGCAGCGACGCCGGCGGCGGTGGTGATGTTGGTGACATTTGCTACTGCTGCTGCTTTCGATGGTCTCGATGATGATGGTTGTGGCCCCTGGTTTGGTGGGGGCAATCATGGTTGCGATGATAAGAATGATGACCGTGGTGGGTTGTGGCAGTGATGATGATCATCGTCATCATCTACACGATTCATAATTCTTGATAATTATGAGGAGGACGATGTTGTTTGAAAGCATTTGGTGATGATGGTGGGTGGCAATGTTAGCAGTGCATGGGACGCGTTTATGACTGGTGGTGGATGATGCTGATGACGACCACAATATTAATCCTTCCTACACTACGATTGTTCTTGGTTTGGTTATTTACGATTGTCATGATGCTGCTGCTGTTGGCCGGTGATGACGACAACGATCATTTATATTGTGCTGCGATGCAGCAGCTTGCATGCACGTACCCCTTGCAGCCCGCCCACCCGCCCGCCCGTCCTGAAAACCGGCGTCGTTCTACCCACGACGTGACCTACAAACGCCCTTTTGCACGCTCGCGTGTGACGTAACGCGGCGCCAGCGTCACTTTGCGACGTTGTGACAGCGCCCGCGAAAAATATATACATGCCAACGCAGCGCGCAGGTCCCGTGCAAATTGTCAACTCCTCTGGGCACGTTGGCAATATCCTGTCCTTCGCATGCAAATAAATATTTACGTTTCATTTTTTGTGGGTGGGGTGTTTTTTTTTTTGGCTCCAAACCCTAAACCCCAGTATGCAAATTCTGTGCAAGAATGAGGATATTGAGCAATGTAGTTTCACTCTGGGGTGAAGTGGTGAGCGCACGGCGCTGTGTACCCGGTGACCCGTTGTTCGATTTCCGGCCACGGCCAACGTGAGCGGCATGTGATGTCGATATCAGAACCCACGATCTAACCCAAAAACCTCTTATGGATGATGATAATGATGACGATGGTGATGATGACGGTGACGGTGATAGCCGTTGGTCGACAATAGCAACGGAGTGACGTGCAGTCCCTACTGTAAAAAGCGCAGTGAAACGCGCTGACCGGCGCGGTGAAGTACGGTCAAACATCCCCGACGCGGTGTGGGGGGAGGGCTTCATCCAGCAGTGGATCGATAAGGGGTTCAAATTCTTTCGTTGCCTTACGATGCATTGTGACATGCCAAAAAATAAGAGCACTGGAACACCTGAGAATCTTTGTTCCCAATTGCTCTTCCAACCAAACGTGATTCTAATGGTGCTGTTGTCGAGTGTCGCGTGTCACGAGAATCCATTAGAAAAATAATCTTCCAAGTAAGCCGGGCATCCCCCACCCCCTATTCCGTGTTCGTCAACATCTATAATTAATTCCCAGAATTTCGTTGTTTTCCCCCAGAAGCCCCGGACTCGAACCCAGCAGCTCAGCGGTGCCGACTCAGCATTCTCTGACCCCACCCCCTCCACTGAGCCCGCCCTTCCGGTGCGAAGCCAAAACGGTGAGTGTTTGAGTCGCGTCGCAACTGTGCCCGCTAAGGTCTTGGCAATTCCATTTCCTCTCCAATCTCTACCCCTCCACCTCTCCCCACCAGCCCCCCTCCATCTCCCATCCTTATTTGTTTTCGCTCTCACTTTCCCCACGTGCCTGCTCTTCATGTCGTTTATGGGAAATGTGTTGTGCAAAGGCTCTTTCTCAGAACGCGAAGCCCTCTGCTGCACAAAAAATTCCACTGACCTGTTGCACAGAGCACACAGTCACTGGGGTTTTGTGTGTGTGTGCGCTTTATACACATGTATAAAGCCGCGTAAGTAAATGGTAGGAATTGAGGGAGCAGCGGGTTAGCACACCGCAGTCCTTAACCCCCAGGAGCTGAGTTCAATTCGCGGAAACAGATAAGCTTTAAATCTAGAATGGAAACGGATAACATCGGTGGCGAGCGATATCCGAGCTGGTGCTCACCCAAAGGTGGCGAGGTGGGGGTGACGGGGAGGGGGCGACCTTTCACAAACCCGCACTGACCATCCCTCGTGTTGACACAGCATGCTGAGGCCTTAATAGGCCTTAATCCAGCCGTAGAGGAATGAAGTCTTGTAAATCACGTTTTATTCATCGTTAGGTTAAGGGAAAGGGTCACGTAAACTGTTTTTATTCCAATGTCAACAAAAGTGAAACATTTACAAAAAATTAAATTCCACACTTGAAAATGAAAGGCGGCCCCTGGACCTGCCAGCCAAGCAGACACTGGCTCTACCCCAGCCCGTGAATGAATGGATCTGTGGATGGATGGAAGATTGAATATATGAATGCATGTATGGATGCATTTGACGATTGAAGGGATGGATGGATTTGGTGAATGTGTGAATGAATTAATGAATGGGTGTTATTGAGGATGGGTGACGAATCAATGTAAGGGATCAATTATTCAATGAATGGATAGATAGATGTATGGATTAACGATAAAAACGAACGCACGCACGCACACACGGATGTCCATGGACGAGGGCCGGGGGCGGAATGTTGTGCACCGCGTGTCCCGAGTTACCAGCACGGACAATTCGGTCCGAAGAAACACGCCGAGCGTTGCCGCGTTAAACATTTCACCGGGGGAGAGCAGCTTTGCCAACAGCGCCAACCGCACGGTCCGCGTTGTGCGAGTTTAGGTTTTTTCGGTTTAATGAGGTTGTTGGTGTACGTTCCGTACGTGTGGGTTTTAAAAGAAACATCTCTTAAATTCCTCTCCGCCAGAAAAATTCCTGGCTCCGCATCCCCGTTTGCACACCAATGGGCTGGCTCAAGACCAACCCCTCTTTTACAAGAGGGTCCTGCCTCATTGGTATTGTTAATGAGATGTTTGGCTTCGTTGTTCGAGGACACCGGAGGGCCCGCACGAAAACCTGCGGGGTATTTTGATGGGGTAACACTCTGCGCAGATTCATTAGAGAATCCGTTTGCCAGCCGTATTGGGAATCGTGTTGGCCACCTCGCAACCCATGCTGTATAACGCCAGCATCCTCAGGCAGTCTCACAAGCAAGTACTGACCTGGCTAAATCCTGCTTAGCTTCTGAAATCTGGCAAGGAATATGGTTATCAGTGGCAGTTAGTGGTGGTGATAATGATGGTAACGGTGGTCATGGTCGCATTGGTGGTGATGGTAGCTCTGGTAGTAGTGGCAGTGATAGTGACGATGATGGAGATGGTAGTGGTGAATGCGGTAGTGGTGGTGTTGATGGTGGTGGTGGCAGTAGTGATGCTAGTTATGATTGCATTGGTGGTAATGATGTCAATGAGGATGATGATGGTGTTAATTATGCCGATTCAGGATGATGGTGGTGGAATTTCGGGTGATGTCGCCCAGTAATGGCTGTAGTCGATGTGCAGAGCGATGGGTGGGTGGAGGTGACTGCCGGTGACGGTGGTGACATTTGTGACGGTGTGGATGGCGGCGATGATGGCGACAATCACTCCGGCTACGACGATGGCAGCAACGGCGCTCCGCCGGTCGTATCGCGAAGCAGCGGCATCAATCACAGCTTCCGTCAGCACATTTTAAATAAATAAAAAGTCACCCGCATGTTGCCGAAGAGCAAGTGTCCTCATCCGCTGTTTAACCACTCAACGCACTCGTCTGCATGGATGACCACATGTCTAGGCCGCTCTGCGGGAAGTATGGGCGGTGAGGAGCCGTGGGGGGCAGGGGGGGGGGGTCTGTTTGGAATAGGTCGTGCACGATTGGCGGTAGCTGTCTAGTGTGCAGGCAGTGTGACGGCACCGTGGGGCCCGTGGCGCGGGAGGGGGGCCCAGGCGCAGGACTACAAAGAGGAAGGGAAATGTGACAGGGAAAGGCCTTTTTGGGGGAGGGGGGGGGGCGGTGGGGGCAAGATTTGCGTCGCCACTGCTGGCAGTGGCATTGATGGTGATGTGGGTGGTATGTGGCCAATGGCGGAGCCACGATTTTCAGGTAGGGGGGCAACCCCTCCAGCAATGAAAAATGATAGACGAGTTGTTAGTAAGTAAGGACTTGTTAGTAAGTAAGGAGTTGTTAGTAAGTAAGGACTTGTTAGTAAGTAAGGAGTTGCTAGTAAGTAAGGAGTTGTTAGTAAGGACTTGTTAGTAAGTAAGGAGTTGCTAGTAAGTAAGGACTTGTCCCTTGCTTTTTATTCGACGCGTGTGCGGCGATGGCACAGCCATCGATCGAGGGTCAAATTCAAACCGCGTTGTGTGATCGGCATTGCGCTCGCTGAAGGTGTTGATGCCTTCAGGGAAGTCGTGTCCTGTATACGCAACTGTGCACAATTCTGAGTCACTTCTAACTGCTTTGCCATTACTTATTGCCAATTATGGACTCAGACCATTGTCCTATCATCTCATAGAGTCCCTGGCACGTAACAATATGCTACACAGTGGCAGCGGGGGTTGCAACATGCCGATTTATTACTAATAAATATTAATGATCCGATCGAAATTAGGGATTTTGATCGGATCATTGGGGGGGGGGGCCACGTGCCACCCCCCCTCCCTTCCCACTGGCTCCCCCAGTGACTGTGGCCATTGCGATGGTGTTTGATAGTGGGGTGGGGGGGGGCCCTGTGTGTGTTTGGGGGGTGAATACGATATAAGTCGAGAGTGAACATTTTTTCCAGGTGGCTACACTGAGCCAGTGGTGGAAATTCCATATTGCTGTGGAGGGGGGGAGAATGTCTTTTTCATTTATCCACAGGACAGTCGCTGCTGTTGTTGACTTCTCCACAAAGCGGTACCTATTTTACCAACCACCATGGCGACAATAAGCTGAGTCTCATGCCCCTAACAGGGAGTTCAACTCTCAACCTTCCGAATTGGGCGCCGCACTCTCTAGCGCCGAGTCAACCCGGCCACCGTGGTGATGGCGGTGATGGCGGTGATGGCGGATGCGATGGTAAACTAAACAACGTTTTGTTTGTGTAACGACGCCGACACACGTTGCTACTCGGAGCCTTTCATTGGACACGGCACCAACACTCGGCCCGGGCTTCTTTCTCGCTGCGTGAAGCTCGGTCCTCTCCCCAAATGTCCCCCCTCCTCCCCTTGTGCTGCCCCCTTTTACACCGCTTCGAGCCTCCTCTCCCGAAGCTTCGCTCGCACCCAACTCCTCTCGGCCAATCCTCGTCCTCCTCCACCAATGGTTGTCAACTGTCGCCCCCCTCCCCCCTTCTCGTCAACCGTCGGTCCCCCGCCTTCTTACATTTAAATCTCCCCTCTGATCCTTTTAAACCTTCGCCTCCTGACCAATCACCCTAGAGGCCTCTCTGCAGCAATAGGAGGACTTGGCCTACTTGCTGACTGTCCATCTGCCCCTACGCCTGCCTCAGGTGAGTGGTCTGTTGCCCACTGAGCTCTCAAACTCTTTTTTCAGAAGCGACCTGGCCATATTAGCTCAATGAAGTGGCGGCTTATCGTCATCGTGTGGAAATTTATAGCAGCGGGGAAATACTCTGAACGCGTTGTTGATGTTTAAATGCGGATGAGAAAAATTGGAGGACATCGGAGAAAAATCTACACGACCATGGGGAGCAAGAGAGAGAGAGAACATGCAAACTCCAAATATACAGCAGGCATCAGGGTAGGGATCGAGCCCACGACATCCTGCATACCAGGCGAGGTAGTTAACATCTCGCTCCCACGGAGGCGGTGATGTCAGCGATAGGGGATATGGGGGGGGGATAAACAGCCCAGCAGCAGTATTGTTCCGTGGTTATTTTCAGGACACGAGTCATCTCACAAATTCAAGTGCCACAAAATTGTGACCGCGCCAAGGCCAGATGCTCAGGCAGAGGGTGGGGGGGTAGCAGTGGGGAATTGCTATGAAATGACTCCTTGAATAAAATACAATTTACTCTTCATCCCGACAGTGCAGTTCGCATTTAAGATGCGTATAATTGTGATAGCAGCAACATCAGCAGTGAAAACATCATCAGCAAGAATCTGCAGCAGCAGCCGCGATAGCAATATAACCATCATCAACATCGTCATCATTCACAGCTGTAGCTGCGATAGCAGTAATCATCAGCGGCAGTATCATCATCAGCAGCAGTAGCAGCAGTATCATCATCAGCAGAATTGAATGATTATGATCTGCAGCAAAAGCAATACCATCAGCAGCAGCAGCTATTGAATCATTATGATGAGCAGCATCATCAGCTATTGAATCATGATGTGCAGCATCCGTAAAATAAAGTTTTATTAGTAGCAGCATAATCATCAGCGGCAGCTATTGAATCATTATGTGCAGCAGCATCAAAAGCATTAGATTAATAAGTAGCAGCATTAGCAGCATTAGGATCTGCAGAAAAGGCAATAGCATCATCACCATGAACATCGGCAGCAGCAACAACAGCAACACAGGGAATAATTATCACGAGCGTTAGCAGCAGTAGCATCGGCAGCAACAGTAGCAGCATTGCCGTACTTTTTCACACTTGGGTGTCACGTGACAGACACTCTGCTGTAACTTTATCACC